ATTGGTTCGTACTTGGCACATTTGAGTTAGATCATTTTTTCAACAAAATTCCTGTTTCAACTTATCTTGACTCTGAATCAACTTATTTAATTTGATGAGTTCGTTGATGATGACTTCATTTTTCATGGCTTCAGCCAGTGGATTTAGTCATGGGGGTCAACGCATCAGAAAATGGTGTTTTTCAAAATAAAATACATAAAATTTCTCTATAATCTATGATAAAAATGCAAAGGGTAACTGAGATTTGCAGTCCCATGTGACTGTAGGCACCATGATAGTTTAATAAAAATGTGTAATGTCATTGTATATAAATTCAATCACAATCACAATCTTTCAGGCTTCTCCAATGTCTGGTCGAGCCTAGAATAAAATGCATTGCCATAATGCAATTGAATTAATTTTTTAAAGATAAATTAAAATGTTCTGTAGTCTTTGCAATTTAATATCAATGTCTCAAGATGTTTTTGGAAATGTGAACCACTGGTTTTGGAGCTGCGAAAAGTTGTTCAAATGTAGGTCAGTAGAGAACAAATGACAATACTCAAATTTGTGCTGTGTTCATGTTAAAAATGAAATTATCCTAATTTAGTTTAAAGAACATGTCCAAAGGAACCAGTCTGGAAAAATATATTTTAGAGGTCAGAGGTTCATTCTCTGTTCACATCAGCCCACAAACAAGGATTGTGGTGATTGCTGGGTTGTTTGTTTTACATCCACAAGGTGTAATGCATGGTTTATATTGTTGTGCTATATTTTGTGTGATTTAGTTGTAGTTTATTTTAAAAAGCTTTAATACAGCAATTACCAAAACTGAAATGTCAGATTTCATTAAGAATGTAATAAAGCATTATACTATTCTACTCTATTCTATATCTGAGTAACATTGAGATTATGTGGGCCCATGTACCAAGACTGTAAACCCATTTCCAATGCTATTTTTTTTACAATCACTGAGACCTGACTATTCCATTCCATACTTTTGTAATAAAGCATTCTATTCTATTCTAAAAGACTATTCTAAAAGACTATTCTATTCTATTCTACTCTATTCTATATCTGAGTAACATTGAGATTATGTGGGCCCATGTACCAAGACTGTAAACCCATTTCCAATACTATTTATTTTTACAACCACTGAGACTTGACGGAAAGAGTTCCTTTTGTACCCCATCCTTAACCCTAATCCTACAGCACTCCCCATATAATTGTACATGTCCCTCCTAAAGACATCTATAGTTATCTAGAGGGGGCATATACAAATGAATTAGGAGTGTTAGGGTTCGGATTAGGGGGTTCAAAAGGGAACTCTTTCCGACCTGACTATTCCATGTGTTTGAATTTTTGAACTGATTGGATAGATCAGAAGAAGACGACAAAAGATTTTTCCCTAGTGTAGGGAAAACAGAGGTGTTAATCCTCAATGGCAATGTTTGGGGAATCGTGACATAGCTTTGTCTTTGAGAATGGTTACTGTTTCTTTCTGCTTATACTGCGTATTCATTGTTCCCAATATATCTTCAGTATCCATATATAGTATAAATTCCTGAATATTGTAAAATTTGTATTAGCTACGACTTCTATTAACTTTTTCACCACTAGCTCCCTCTTTTCTACACTTTCCTTCAGAAGATTAGAACAAAAATAGCAAATTTTTTTTTGGAGTAAAAACTGAAAATTTACTCAAATTTTGTCTATTAGCTTTAAAATTAGGGTTCATTTCAAGAAATATTGAAGCATACAAAAAAAAAGAGCCGAAAAATTTGTGCGAAAAAGTCTTGTGGTAAAAAGGTCAAAATAGTACAAGACAAAGTATGAGGAAAAAGTTATTTTTGTACTACCCCACTCCAAACTCTGACATAACCCTTGCCCTCCAGCACTAACCAATTTATTAGTACTGGGGTACACCTGATTATTAACAGGGAACACACAATTTAAAATATCTTGTATCAATTTAATTGGAGGGGCTTGGAGATGGGGATGGGGGTTACAAAAAAATCTTTCCATATATTCAAGGAGCTAAAAAAAGAAACAACTCTATAATTGTACATTTTTGTAATTTGTTTAATAACATGGCATCTATAATCACTAACATTGGCCTGACCTGTCTTTTAATTAACCCTCTTTGTAAACAGTACAGTGGACAGAAAAAGTGCACCCCATGCTTTAAATGGTTTAACCCTCATGAATAATTAATGATGTTTACAGGTCAAATTCTATGCATACAAACACTGCTGTGATGAGACATAAAGGCAAGACACTATCCTGCTATGTAACACATGGGTTATGTAATCTACTCAGAAAGCAGCAAAGTCCAAGAACCCTGGCTTAGGGGTCATAGGTCAAATTTCTACACAAGTAACTTTAGACCTTAGAAACTCTTTCTAAGGTCTATGTAGTAACCAAGACCTAAATTACCTTACAATTGCAATGGGCAGTGTATGGGTTGTATACAAAAACAGGATGTAATCAACAGCCTTTGTGCTATATTCAGTTCCCACCCTAGCAACAACTGTTGCTATACTGTCATGTAAATCTAAATGTTTCATATGGGTACATACTGTATGTATATTCAACAAGTCTGAAATTACATTAAATTGTTAGAATTTTTATTTTTTATTTTTCTGCTGACAATTCATCTGCCTTGTGGTTTTGAATAATATACTCCCATTCATTTATCTACTCATATTGTCAAAGTTGTAACAAATACTACGTATTACCATGGAAATCTATTTTACCTTCATGATCTCCCAAACACAAATAGCTACAAGTATTTTAAAATTGCTGGCAGTGCTTCAGTAATTGCGGAAACAATTCCCATTGAATTTCTTTTCTTCTTTTTCAAGTTTCTATTGCAATTAGCATATCACAGAGAAGTGAGAAGCAACCAGCACATACCAACCATACTTTAAGCCTCATCATAAAGTGTCTATGTAACCATGGAGGTATAATAATAATTTTTAATAATTTATCAACACTTACACATCCCCCCCCCCCCGGAGGGATTGGCAATGGTTACAAAAGTTTAAGAAGGAATACAAGGTTACAAAAAAGTAAATAGATAAAATAAAACAAACTAAGCTAATACATTACAGATGTAACATTATAAATACAGCTAATTACAATTCCATTTACTTTAAAAATAATAATTTTAAATTTATCAAAACTTTATATTTTTTTGAGTGACTCGTAACAAAACTGCATGTATCCTGAAACAAGTTTCAAACTAACCGATGACTAAACAGTCACCAAAACCCCGCCCTGACTTGATCCGAGTTTCACGAGTCTACTAGTACAAACAGCTGGTGGTGTTAACGCCGTGAATGAAACGTTTCTATTGCCAAATTTAAGTAGAACCGTCGCTTTCTTTACAGCTGTTGGGCAACAGTAGACGCTTTTGTTGACCGACTTTGAATAAAAATTAACTTCAAAAGAAAATGATAAAAACATACATAAATGGATTATCTTTAATTATCCATGTGAAGAACGTGCTAACCTTGACTTCGGAATACCAGGTCATGTATGTTTTTACGTATTCTGGCAACGGAAGAATCAAATTAAAACACTAGGACAAAAGCAGTAAAATAAGACGGCGTTTTTAATTGGTTGCTATACAGGTTTTAGTTTGTCGCCCGTATGCTTGGGAATGCCGATTTGACCGATAATATTTCGGGCACAACATTTTTCAAAGGACTGATTATTATCGGAAATTCATGAAATGCCACGTATTCGTGAGCAGTCGTAAACTTGGTGAACACGGACAGGAACTGACGACAAAAAAGGGTTCCTCAAAACGATATAGGATTACTGTCTACGTGGGTGAAAAAAAAAAAAAAAAAAAAAATAGAGTCACGCAAAGGTGTAGACCAGACGCTGTAAGTGCTGAAAGTCAACCGGGAGGAAAAGCACATTAACTACGTGAGAATTTCGTTGTATAGAAACACCAGACTGTTTTTTGTCAGAGTGACCCGAAAAAAAAAATAGTCAACAAGACACAACAACTCGAATTACAACCTACCGGCATCTGGCTTCATTGCGAATTCTCACAACAAATATCTGGAATTCTTGGCTATAGTCGGGTAAAGCAGATGTCCACTATCACATCTGGTCCCATTCTTGAGCCGGTACGGGCAAACAACTTCAGCATTTCGATAAAATTACGGGAGCCCCACTGATCAATGGAAATGACGTTGTTGTGTTAATCACTTGGTCACGTGACAATCAGCTGTTCGTGTTAAGGGTCACCAGCTGATTGCTGCGTCATTTACTAGTATTTGACGTCTGCTGTCAGAATACACACGCATATCAAGAAAACTAGTTAACTATTAAAAAAAAGTTTTAAGCTGACAAAAAAAAAAAAATGCAAAACTCATCTACATGTATTTCATAAAATAATGAGACCGACCGACTCAGTCAGCTGCTTCTGCTTTGGTTATACCATTATTTGTTTGTGTAAATTGGGAGGGATTTATGCCGATGTCATTTTTGTATATTTAAAATTAGTAAATTTATTGTGGCATTCATATTATTTCAAAATATGTTGTTAAAATGAGACCATTGCATCTTTTCGGAATTTGTTTTTTTTCAGACTCAACTACTCCCATCAAATTAATGGTACGGTCTGCCTAGGGGTCAAACATTTGAAGTCGTGGGGGGAGGCGCTGGAAGAGCAATTTCTTTCGCAGTGTTCTTTCTACACATTTTTATTTTTATTGAGTGCGACAATATTTTAATTATGCAAGACCTGGCATGCATTTTTGTCTCCATTCCAACAAGCCCCCCCATGATTACAAATAGTCGGCCCCTCTAGTGGGCAACACAGTGAATGCATTTGTCACAGTGCTTTGACGACGTGGACTGCCTTCAAGTGAACAGGTCCTTTTACAATACAGAATAAACGGGTCAACTGTTGAGCAATGTTCACTCAATTGGTTCAGTAAGTATACACAAAAGGTGTATTGTTGCTGAGTTCAATTAAACCAGGCTGCCAGTCACGGACGTACCAGTGTCCATTCTTGGGATCGTTGCTGAGTTCAATTAAACCAGGCTGCCAGTCAGGGACGTACCAGTGTCCATTGATGGGATTGTTGCTGAGTTCAATTAAACCAGGCTGCCAGTCAGGGACGTACCAGTGTCCATTGTTGGGATTGTTGCTGAGTTCAATTAAACCAGGCTGCCAGTCAGGGACGTACCAGTGTCCATTGTTGGGATTGTTGCTGAGTTCAATTAAACCAGGCTGCCAGTCAGGGACGTACCAGTGTCCATTGTTGGGTTTTTAAAGAAACAAAACACTTCTTAATACTTTGCTTTTTCATACATTTATTTTTTGAATGTTTGATAACTGAGAAAAAATTAAATAATTTTATAAAAAAAAAAACGAAAAAAAAAAAAGATCTTCTAAAAGAATAAGTGTTTTAACCCCCCTCCCTTTATAAAAATCTTGAAGTATTTGTTGTTCGTTTTTGTTCTATCCAATCATGGACAGAAATAACCGAAAAGGGAAAAAAACAGAAAAATGGTTTGGTTCGAGTGTAAATCTGTGCGTCAAATGAGATGCATTTGTAAAATCTGTTTACACCCACCCGACAACCAACTGCTATGCCATACTACTGTCCAATTATCAATTTGTATTTAATAGTGAATGTAGTCTGACGCCATGACCAATATTTATCAATTAAGTTTCAGTGGGGGGTAGGGGGTTTGGAAAAAAACTAAAGGAATTAAGTTTTTTATCCGACATCGATCTTTTGATGTTGTCCCTTAAGACCCTGGATATGCAAATATCCAGCTACACAGCAGCAGTCCCAACAAAGGCATACTATATTTGCTTATTAATACTTATGCATTATGTAAATTACAGAGATTTCTCCATGGTCGGTCAAAATTGATTTTTTTGAGTCAGTGTGTGTTATATCTACAATTTGATTCATTTAATTAAAAATACAAATGGTGTCGCTATCAAATTGTCAAACTGCACATAGTGTTGCTGTACCTGTAATAATTCAATATATTGTAT